GTGTGGACGTCAGAAAGTATCATTACATAAACTTAAATGGTAGCACCTACTACACACCTAAGCTCTGTGGAGTAGCCTGTTGGGACCACATCCTAGATGCAGTCTATCATTAACTGAACCATCTTTACACAGTGCATGATAGTCCACCAAAAAAAGAAAAAAAGAAATTCAAATCAATAACAGAACCACACTGAAGAGATGGTAAATTATCCAGGTAACTCTTAAATGCAGTATTCAGGCCCTCGTTTGGGGAGAAGGGACTACAAAGAAATTCTCAAGTTTGCATGGTATTTATCCCCTTTAGACTGCGTATTGGAGGAGGGAAAATAATAAGGCTATATAATCAAGAACCCTACCACACCTAGACCAGATCTTTATATCACCAGTAAGGGGCAGGTGGATATGTAATCTGGATTTGCTACCCTGAGAAAGTATCAGTTTCATGGCATTTTAACTGGCAAAGTACAACCTAAATATGATCATGAGAAAAACCTCAAATCTAAAAGAAAGAAAAAACTTTTGTTTTTTTGTCTAAAAATGAAGTTTTTATTTTAGAAAAGGGGAGGAAATATGTATGGAAAAATTCCAAATTTATTTAGCTCACCCTTGAGAAGAGGGTGTGATCCCCCATTAAGTATGGGCTGTGCTCTTTTCAACCATTACAATGTGAAAAGCAGTTAAGAGTAACTTTGTAATGGAGAAAGCTGACAAAACCTCAGGCAGGTGATGAAGGTCAACATAAACAGTGATAAGGTTTTTTTAAAGGTTTATTTATTTATTTATACAAGCACTGGGTACAGTCAGAAGCGCGGGAGGGTAAGAGAATTCACCAGAGCCAGAGCAGGGAGCAGAGCAAGCAGACTGAAGTACACTGCTGAGGGGAGCAGCGGGTGACAGGAGAGGTCTGCGCGCCATGTGGGACCCTCCTCCGGTGGCCAGGGAGCAGCCAGGGATCAAACCGGCGCTGCAGAGGCTGCGGGCAGCTTCGCAACCCAGCACTCAACCACTGCGCCACCGGGGAGGCCCAACAGTGATAAGTTGTGTTGAGATGATTGAATCCTTGATATGATGCACTTTACCTTTGATTTTTCTCCCCAAAACATAACCCCCAGTCTGATCATGCGGAAACACAAATCACAGGGTGAACATTCAACAAAATACCTGCAAGTGTTCCTCAAAACTGTCAGGGTTGTCAAAAAACAGCCAAGAGAAGCTTAAGGACAACTAAATATAATGTGGGATCTTGGAACAGAAAAAGAACATTGAGTAAAAATGAAGAAAATCTCAATGTAGACTACATTAATACTGATTCACTAATTTTAACAAATGAAATTTATGAAAGTAGGTATTATAAGATGTTAATAGGGGAAATGAGTATATGGGAAATCTGTATGTATGTACAAGTTTTCATTGAGCCTGTAACTTCTAAAAAAATTTTTAAGGAAGGAGCTATAATCTTAAAATATGTGAAATGTTAAGAAAGACCAAGTCTGCATCCACATTAAAGACTAAGAGACATAAATATGTGATACTGTACTAAAGAAAAAATACCTCAGATCTTGATTGACCTGTCTTCATTGGATTTTGGGTTTTTTGGTTTTTTTTTCTTTTGAATCTTCAGGATTTACTATTTTCTTTTGTTCTCATGTATACACATGTATAAGCTTTTTGGAAAGATTTTTTTTGGGTTTACTATCCATTTGTTGAATTTGCTTTGCTTCTCCAATTTTTAAATTGTAAGATTTATCCTGTACCTCAGAATTGTCCTTATATGTGAAGAATTAATGTCATTCTTTGAAATTTTTCTCTTGTTACTAAATTGCTTCTGTTTCCTGAAGATTTGTTTTCATCTTTCATATTCTTGGAGGCCTTTCTCAAATGACAGGTGATCCTTGCTTGTCTGTTCATGTTTAAAGGTTAGATTCTAAGTAGGTGATTGGACTGCATGTGCCTCCATTGGATGGTTGGCAAGTGACATTCGCTGATGATTGGTTGCTTTTTTTTAAATTATTCCATTGGATATTCAGCACTTCTAGTCTGTCCTGTTTAGATGTGGATATTTTTTGTTATGCTTAATATATATTGTAGTTCTGGGACTTGTTTTCATTATTTCTGCAGAATTCTCAACCAGTACCTCATTCAACTTTCTTCTTAAAGCAGTTCTTTTGTGCTTATTTTATATTCTATCTCTGTTAATTCCTGTGCCTACCAATTTGGAATTCCTAATCTGTTTCTGCTGACATACATGGTAGATTCTTGTTGGATATTTCATACTTGATAAAATCTGTGAAAGGCCTGAATTGTAAGTGATTATTTCCTGGGATGATTTAGGATTATTTTTGCTGAATGTCATGGGGCAGAAGTAACTGAAGGTCTTCTTGACCGGGAGAGTTCCTGACCATCCAGGGTGGATAAACTATAACATCAGGCATACTCAGGAGGGCAGGCCTATGATTATATAATCTCAGAGAAACCCCCTGCACCCAAGGGAATCTCAAAGCTCCCTTGAAGGTACCATTTGCATATAGTCCTTTTTTTTTTCCACCACCCTCTCCCTTTCTTTCATCAAAATTGCAGCTTCTGTAATTATTTTATGCTGATACAGGAATTTCCAATTAGGCTTACCTACTGTAAATATCAATAAATGGTAAGTTTTATGTAGGATAACTTGATTACAGTTCACTAGTATTCTATACTAATTTAAGAAGTACTTAAGGAACAACATTCCCCAAGAAGAATGAGTGCGCTCTGGAGTATGTACATGTGAAGGTATTTATTCCTACAATACCTGAGATAATCCGAGACTTCAGGCTGGGTACATCCAGGGCTTATTCCTCTTATGTTGTATAATTGATCATTTTCTGTGTGAATTGGACCATTGGAAAGGTCAAAGAGAATTCCTCTAAAACATTAATCCTTTTGATGATGCTTTCCATACTATATATCTCTCCTTAGTTATCATGTTAATAAGCTGTATAGACTGGAAGAGACCCTGAAGAAAGGCACATTTCCCAAGTGTATTTGATCATGGTACTTTTTAAAAAATGTTAACAGCCTATAATGATTGAAATCAGGATGTTTATAATCATTGATCCTTTGAAATTTCAGAGTTATATTCTCTGATAAGATCTTATTCTGCATTGACATTTAAGGGTCAGTAAATATGCATTAGCTGCTAACCCAGCTGACTGAAATGGATAAAATTATATGAAAACTATGGGTATAAATGATCATCTCTGCATAGAGGTGGACTGTATGAATTTGAACTTAGAATTCTAGCCAATGTTTATTAAGTGTTTTCTATGCACCATGATAAATATTTCCTAATGTCATTCCCTTGCCCTCAAAGGAAAAAAAATGCATCCCTTTTTTTTACCCTGACGTTCAAAAGCACTTGTGATCCGACCACTGCATCTTCCTCCCATCCTTCTCAACATTGCACACCAGCCACACTGGCCTTTCACTGCTCGAGTTTATTCAACCCTAGCTTTGGACAACAGATTTCAGCGTTGTCATTATGGGTCATGCTAAGAGGTTAAACCAGCCAGGGGTTAAAAATGTATGAAATAATACAAAAAAATATATTAACTGAAGTAGAAGAATGAGGATATGTACTAAACTCTATATATAATCTTCTTAAGCTGTTGGTTTACTCTCAATGTTTAGTGATGGTTTAATTTCTTTTTTCCATTGCAAATATCACTTAATTTCTTTCTTTGTGATTTATTATTTTCTTTTAACTCTTATCAAACTCAAAGTTTTGGAATTTGTTTCAGGAAAAATTGGAGTGGAGCGTGTTTGTTTGGGGTTTGGTTTTTTGTTAGTGGTTGAGTGAGGGAAACATCTTTTGGAGGAACATAGACTAACATTCACTAAAGATGAAAATACTGTCTTTGTGAATTTCCTTTTAAAAGGAAATAATTAGCTCTAGATTTTTGGGAGTTTTTTTAATTATTCCTCATACTGAAAATGAAATAGGGTCATATAGAAATGTTTTTATCTATGATTTTTTAAAACAGTTAATATCTAAAACATTGTCTCCAGAACTCTTAGCAGTTTTTAAAAGTACCTAATTCCTATTGTTAAAAACATTTACAATTTTAGCCGCAGCCTCTGTGGCGCCGGTTCGATCCCCGGCTGCTCCCCGACACCGGAGGAGGGTCCCACATGGCGCGCAGACCTCCCCTGCCGCCCGCTGCTCCCGAAGTACGCTGCAGTGTACTTCGGTCCTTCTGCCTGCTCTGCTCCCCGCTCTGGCTCTGGTGAATTCTCTCACCCTCCCGTGCTTCTGACTGTACCCAGTGCTTGTATAAATAAATAAATAAATAAAATAACTCTTTAAAAAAAAAATAAAATAAAATAAAAACATTTACAATTTTAGATGAAAAGCAAGTTAATGAATCTTCTGTGTATTTCACAATTTTTTTTTAAAGATTTATTTTTTTATTTAAACAAGAACCTGGGTACAAGCCAGATGCTCAGGAGGGTGAGAGGATTCACCAGAGGCAAAGCGGGGAACAGAACAGGCAGAATGACCGAAATACACTGCTGAGGGGAGCAGCAGGTGAGACAGGAGAGGTCTGCCCCGCCCTGTGGGTTGCTCCGCGGCCTGTGGGGATTGAACTGGCACTGCAGAGGCTGCAGACAGCTTCACGGCACTGCGCTGAACCACCTGCGCCAACAGGGAGGTCCCACAATTTTTTTTTTAAAGATAGTGCCAGCTCTATTAATCTTTTTGTAGAGAACTGACACCTAATTTGTGACAAAACTTGAATTACATGATCTTTTGGTCCCTATTCAGTGTTCTTCCCATCACTACTGTTAGTCTCATTAGATAAGATGGTAGCTAATGGATTTGTGCCTCATAAATACAAAGAGCTTCATTGTGACACAAACATATTTTAATTTTTCAAATCTCATTTACCAGATTTGAACTAAGGTCTGTTAGGGAATGTATCTGAGTACCACGTCATACATTATTGGTTTCTTCAACTTTTAAGACTGAACAATTCTTCACAATCCGAAAGGAAAAGAAGAGACTCATTCGGGATGTTTGACGGTTATGATAGCTGCAGTGAGGACACAAGTAGTAGCTCCAGCTCTGAAGAGAGTGAAGAAGAAGTTGCTCCTTTAGCTTCTAATCTCCCAATTATCAAAAACAATGGACAAGTCTACACATACCCAGATGGTAAATCTGGCATGGGTACGTATTTTCAGCCTTCACCTGTTCTACAACTTTATTTTTGATAGTATGTTTTGGTCTCCATACTTCTGTCATTTCCCTTCCTTAGAATTTTTAGAGAGCAATGTGAAGAAACACAGCCTGAAACTTGTAATTTTAGATAAGTCACTGTGTTTGTGTTTGTCTCTTTATTTTTCCTACTTCCACTTTCTGGTAGAAAGCAAGTAGAACAAAGTAAAAAGCAAAGACTGTTGATCAACTTACTTTGTCTGCCTAAGTGTCTTGTACTTCAGCTTAAATTTCTTGATCTTTGTTTATTTATAAAGCCACATGAGCACCTTATCAAATTAATAAAATTAATTCCTCTTAATATATGCTTTTTCCATAATATAATTATAGAAACCAGTTTGGTAACCTTATTACAAAAGGAAATTTTTTTTTGAAGTTTTATATGTGCTAGACTGTCTTAAATACTAGGGATGCAGAAATGAATAATACAAAGTCCCTTCCCTGATGGAGCCACATACTAACCATGGGAATTCTAGTTTGGTATGTATGATTCTTTTCAAAAATTCACATTCTCTTGGGAATCACAGATTTCTCTTTTTCTTTTGTTTTTAAACATAGCTGGTCACAAACCTTTTTAACAATCTATTCTAGAATATTTGCATCAGAAAGCAAGTCCTTTTTTATTTATTTTTTTTCTGCGTAGAAGAACTGGAGTACAGGTCAGAGGTGCAGGTGGTGAGAGGATTCTCCAGAGACAGAGTAGGGAGCAGAACAGGCAGATCTACTGAAATACACTGCTAAGGGGAGCAGTGGGAGAGACAGGAAAGGTCTGCTGCACCTTATGTGGGTTATCTCCCTGGTCAGGGATCAAACTCAGGCCATCGTAGTGATAGTGCTGAGATTTAACCCTTAGGTCCCCAGGGACACCCCTTTTTTATTTCTTTTGGTAGTTATCCATTGGTTATCTCTAATCTAGTATATTCGTTCCATGATTTCTCATAGATTTATAAGTACTGGTAAAAGTACAAATCCCTCCAGTTTGGGTTGGAGAGTTGAACTACTCAAGCAGTTATTTGAATATTACATTCTGTTTATCTGTTAATTGTTTTGTTCCAATTTTATTGGGAAATGATTGACAAATATAATTGTGTATATTTGAAGTTTACAGCTTGATGATTTGAAAAACACAGACATTGTGGACTGATTGCCAAGAACAGGATAATTAGCATACCCATCACCTCACATAGTGAACTTCTCTTTTTTCCTTTTTCTTTTTTTTTTTTTTTATTTTGGTGTAAACACTTAAGATTTACTTTTTTTTTTTTTTTTTTTTTTTTTTTATAGAGGCATGCTTTATTTATTTGTTTGCTGGTTTGTTTGTTTGTTTTGTTTATACATGCACTGGGTACAGTCAGAAGCGCGGGAGGGTGAGAGAATTCACCAGAGCCAGAGCGGGGAGCAGAGCAGGTAGAAGGACCGAAGTACACTGCTGAGGGGAGCAGCGGGCGGCAGGAGAGGTCTGCACGCCATGTGGGACCCTCCTCCGGTGGCCGGGGAGCAGCCAGGGATCGAACCGGCGCCACAGAGGCCGCGGGCAGCTTCGCAACCCAGCGCTCAACCGCTGCGCCACCGGGGAGGCCCTTAAGATTTACTTTTAACAGCTTTTAAGATTATAATGCTGTGTTGTTAAACCATATCATCCTGCTGGATTATTAGATACTTAGAACTTTTTTTTTTTAATAGCTGACATGTAATCTTTGACTACATTTCTCCCTTTTTCCCCTCTCCCTCATCCCTGGCAACCACCATTCTGTGAAATCTGCTTTCTTAAATTTTTGAGATTCCACAAATATGTGATACCATATAGTGTTAATGTCCAGTTTATTTCACACAGCGTAATGACCCATCTTGTCAAAAATAGCACCATTTCTTTCTTTTAAATCTCCTTTTGATTGAATAATATTCTACTTTAGTGAATACTATTTCATTATATGTATCTGTGTATACCACCTTTTCTTTATCCAGTCATCTGTTGAAAAACACTTAGATTTGTTTTCATATCTTAGCTACTGTAAACAATGCCACTGTGAACATGGAAGGGCAGGTGCCTCTTTGAGATAATGGTTTATGGTTGTATAACCTTTTATAAGACCACCAAGACATATAATGAAGAAAGAATGGTCTTTAAATGGTATTGGGAAAACTTGATATCCACATACAAAAGAATGAAGCTGGACCTCTTTATACCACTCACAAAAAATTAACTCAAAATGGATAAATATTTATTTTTCAATCCTGATCCCCACCCCTAAAATGGATTAAAGATTTAAATGTGAAACCTGAAACCGTGAAGCCCCTAGGAGAAAACACAGAGGGGAAGCTCCTTGGCATTGGTCTTGACAAGCAAATTAGTTAATAAACAAAAACACAGGCAATAAAAGCTAAATAAACAGTGGGACTACATCAAACTGAAGAGGTTCTGCACAGAAAAAGATACATCAAAAAAGTAACCTACAGAATAGTTGAAAATATTTGCAAACCATTTGTCTGGTAAGGAGTTAATATCCAAAATATATAAAGAACTCATACAACTCAGTGTGGTAAATAATCCAATTTAAAAATGGGTGAAAGACCTAAATAGACATTTTCCAAAGAAGGCATACAAATGGACAGTAAGTACGTAATAAGGTGCTTTCTTATCACTAATCATCAGGAAAATGCAAAGGGGAGCCACAATGATATATCACCTTGTATTCATTAGGATGACAGTTATCAAAGAAGCCAAGAAATGATGTGTTAACAAGTTAGACTGTGGAGAAAAGGGAACCCTTGGTAGAAATATAAATTAATCAATTTTCTGTGGAAAAATAGAACTACCATGTGATCCAGCAGTCCCACTCTTTGGTATATATTTTTCCTGATCTTCAGTTCTTGTGACCCTTTTCTTCTAATTCTGCCTTTCAGATTATTGTCCATTATGATCATTTATAGCAGAGGCACAGCAGTAGTTTTGTTTCACTCTTATTATCAGTTAATAATAGAGGAACTACCTCAAACTTTGAACATATCCTTCCTTCTTTTCCCCTGAACATATACCTTGAAAGTTCCTTGAACTTGAAAGGCTCTTCCTATTGCCCTTTAAAGGCTTGTGCTGTGCTTGCATTTCTTTCTATCTTTTGTTTATAATCCTTTCCAAGACTGGAGCTCATAATGTACATAAAAATGCTTGGCACGTGGTGAGCACTTAGGAAGTGTTAGCTGAATCTGACTTCTATTTGTCTTTTGACATCCCCTTTTTACCCCAGCTGTCCTCAGTTTCCTTTTTTTTTTTTTTATCATTTGTGTAACAGCAGAAAGAAGGAAGTTTTTTAATCAGAATCCTTAGGTAGTTGAAGAAATTAAACTATTTGATAACATTTGGTTTATAGCATATTAACAATGTTTTTATTTTGTTAACTAGCTACCTGTGAAATGTGTGGGATGGTTGGCGTTCGAGATGCTTTTTACTCTAAAACAAAGCGTTTCTGTAGCGTTTCGTGTTCAAGAAGTTACTCGTCAAACTCCAAGAAGGCAAGCATTTTGGCCAGACTTCAGGTAACGGTACAGAAACTTTCTTATTCTTTATACCTGTTATTCCTATGACTTTCACTGTTTATCTGTCATTTGATTGTGATTCACTGCACTCTACCTCTGTCTAGTTGGCCCATTATCATTTTACACCCTACAGTTTTAGGAAATATGTGAGCCCTGAAAATTGTCTATAAAATTGAATATCTACTATAAATAGACAAGGCTTATCATCCAAAATAAATTATGAATAGTTTAAGTGAATTAAAAATACTTACCCTTTTCTAATACGTGTAACTATAATAAACTTTTTTATATGCAGAAAGTGGAGCAATTTTTCCTCCTTTACGTTAACATCAAGGTAGAATCTTTTAACATGGGGAGGGAGGAGATTTACCCTGTGCCTTTATCTTCCCATCATTTTTACTTTTTACCTTTAATTGCAACACATTTGATACTTCAAATTGTATATGAAGATACAATTGTATATGGTTAATTGAACTATTTAAAAAATAATGGTATAGATATAGAAAGTCATCTTTCTGTAAATGTACATCAGTGCCTACAGTATGGAGATTTAACTAAGTTGTTGCTATTGTAGCAGATAAACAAATTTTAAAGGCACTAAATAGCTGATTTTTCTAATATATTTGGGTGATCACATTTTTCTTACTGTCCTTTAATTATTATTGTGATCATTACATAGCACTGAAAGGATTATTTAAATCCCCAAAATTAAGGAAATACATCACTGAGATGTATTTCTTTATTTCAGATAGACAGTACCTAATGATCCTGAACAGTGGTCTGTACCCAAATGGATGGCAGTTTGTCACACTGAATTTGGCCCATGATCATTTTGTCATTGATCTTTTGCGTTAGCACTAAAGGTATAAACCTCAGTCACTTGCTCTTTAAACATTAAATTATCTTCTCTTACCATATAAATAGCAATGCTTGGCAACCTGCATGAGTGAATAACCACTGGTTTTATCTAGTATAAGAAGGAATCAAATTCCCACCCACAGCCTATATTTAACCTCTTATGGGATATAATTTTTTATTAACATATTAATTTGCATACTGCTGTGTTAGTCTGTGCCAGCTCTGCTACCCGTATAAGATACCTACATTGTAGCAGAACTCCAGAAAACATTCCTCGTGTTAAAATTTCTTGTATGTTTCCTTCTGCTTTAACAATTTTCTAAACCCTCAATGTTTACTTAAGCAGATTGAGTAGTTGCAATCAAGTTGGGGGGAATAAAAAAGAATCCTATTTACTTAACTCTTCTTGTTTTAGGGTAAGCCTCCAACAAAGAAAGCAAAAGTTCTTCAGAAACAACCTTTAGTTGCTAAACTAGCCGCATATGCTCAGTATCAAGCTACCTTGCAAAATCAAGCAAAGACTAAAGCAGGTAATGTGGGTGAAATATTTGATATTGATTCAACTAGTTGTGATTAATGACTCTTATTTTTGGATTCTGTTTAAGCTCTTTCTAAGCCCATTATGTCACTAGATGATCATTTTAGTTTCAATAAATTATTCTAGAAAAGAAACTTGTATTCACAAGTTTCAGTTCTTATGAAAATCTCTTTAATATTAATGTCTTTTATTGGGTTTCTTCATTTTTTATATTCGGTGGGAAGCACTGTGGAGATAATTTGCAAAGAAATAGGACATTTAGCAGACTTGAAAGGGGTTGGGGAGAGGAGAGTAATAACAGGAAGCCATTAAGGAGAGAGGACTGTTTCTAATAGAAGATTGGTAATTGGCATGCAAAGGCAAGGAGGTGGATAGGGAGGAGGGCGGTGGTAGATACTAGGTAGACACCTCATGGAAATAGACAGTAGGGGCTACAAGGGAATAAAAGCACAAAGGCAGCTATAGCAGTGTTTGTTATCCTGCACACTTCTTTGTGTCTCTCCTGACTGGAGAGCCTGTTCTTTACTTCCAGAGGAGTATATGTAGTATATAGAAGACTTAACCGCTGTTTATTTGCAAATATGGTTTATTTAGAGTTCAGTCTCTACAGGAGAAAAAAAAAAAAACTTACTTTAAAGGTGGTAATATTGTATCATCTCAAATTTAAAATCATATCCTTCTTATAAATAAAAGATTTAAGAATTGTACTATATCTAGATTTATTTTGTTTCTGCAGCAGTTTCCATGGAAGGTTTCAGCTGGGGTAACTACATCAATAGCAATAGCTTTATAGCAGCTCCAGTTACCTGCTTTAAACATGTGAGTATGGAATTTCTTACCTTATAGTGAAGTGCTTAATAATTGTTTAAATCTGAAAATACACCACCACCTAAGCGTCTTATCCTTAGGTCTTTATTTTATACATTTTATACATTGTAATGATATTTTTTTCATTAAATATTATAGTTTAAAATTACTTCTACTGTGAGTTTTACAAGTAAAAGCTTCCCATAAAAAAATTGTAATTTGAAATTATTTTAAACAGGGAAAAGTCTCATTCAGTTTTCATATTAAGTAAAACCATTTAAAATTGCTGTTTTGTGTATAAAAATACAGTGCAGTTGCACAACGTAGGTGTTAGGGACAAGAGCCATCCACAGTTGGTTGAATTCATGAAAAGATTTCATAGAAAAAGAATCGCGAAATGGACTCATGTAGTTCAACCTGTGTTCAAGGTACAACCGTAGTTGTATATTGACAGTATCAGATGGTTCAGCCTAATAAAAACCATCTGTCATGTATCTTTGTAATTTGATCTGGTAATTCAGAAAAGGATCTTTGCTCCAGTTTTGTTTTTGTGTCCAAATGTAAAGTTACAAAAATAAAAAGGGACTACTAGTAATATACTTTATAGACAGATAAATATATGATACTGTGTAAAACACTTGGCAGCATATTCTTTTTACCACGTATACTGTCACAGAACATCTCAAGAAGTCAGAATTAATGTCAAAAATGTATCTAATTATAAGTTCTTTCCTTTGATTCCATTCTTTTTATTATCTGTGATTAATTCTCTGCAATATTTTATTTAACCTGACTGCAAGTTTATATTTGAAGGTTCTTTCTGCCTCAGACCGTGTATTAAAAAAAAAGGAGAAAGAATTGAGAAAACTAATGAATAAAATTTTGTTTACACTTAACATTTTGTTGATTCTGAGTGGGCTTTAGTTATGAGTAACAATGTGTGGACAAAATTGAGCTTGTGTCTGTGGAAAGCCAAATGAACTTTCATTCATTGTTGGCCAGTAAAGGATCTTGATCAAGGCTAACCACATTAATTCAGTAGTAGAAATATAAATTAAAGCCAAGCTCACTAATTTGCTAGTTTTCTTTCTTTTGAAGATACAGGTATAAAGCCCTTTCTTATTTAGTGGCTGCTGACTGTGTATCAACCCAAGTAAAAGCTTAGATATTTTATCTCACTGTAAACCTGGTGACTTACTTTACTTTAATGTGGATAGTATTGTCACATTTTTGTGAAATATATTGAGAACACCACCACAGCAGCTTTAAATAGAACTACAGAGCAAATCTTTAACCCTTCTCTCTTGGGATAGTTCTTTCTGGTACAGAGAAGTCCATAATTAGATTAATTTCTCAGTGACAGTAACTCTTTCATCCTAGATTCCTGGAGTATTTGTCTCTTTCTAAATAGCCTTTCTCTCTTCTTCTACTTTTACTTTAACATTCTGTTTTTTATGTTTTAGTATCATAAATCACATCAAACTATTTTATGTAAGAAGAATATTTTAAAAGTAGCTTCTCAAAACCCGAAGTTATTTCATTTCATGTCCATATTTTAATAGTAATACTGTATTATTAAAGTTCTTTGCAAGAAAACCTCTTACAATGAAAGTGATTTTATTCTGGCTGCTTCTTTTAGATTAAAATTTTCTAGCACATAGAATAGCTAGTCTTAATTTTTTTATTTATGATGATGATGTGGAGCTTCCTCTTTCTCACTCAAAAGTGAGTTATCTGTTACTGAATCCCTTCCTGTTCCACTCATCTTTCTTTACTACCTTCTTATAAAATAAGAAAAAAAAATATATTGCCAATCTCTTAATATATTTTAGTACAAATGTGTTTGCTTTGTTGCCATAAACCTGCATCTTCATTTGAAGCCATTGGGTTTAGAAGGTCGGAGCTCATGTTACACTTTTGTCCTTTGGAGTTGACTTTTCATGGTTCTCTCCCTCAGGTAGTTTTTTAGGTCTCTAAGGAGAGTTGCTGGGTTTAGCTGTAGAACACCTTTTGTCAGGATCAGCTCCAATCCAGATCCTGCCTTGTAGGATGTCCACTACTTTATTGATGTCCTCTAGTTTGTCTTCTGGTCTAAGACTGGATGTATGCTACTGGGACTTTGGTTCAGTGGTAGGGCCTTTTTCTCCAGACTCTATATCTGCCTTCTCTTCAACCTGAGTACAGGTTGGGGACCTTTCCCTGCTCCTTTGGGATTCTTTTTTCAACAAACTTTTAAAAACATCCAAGATGTAACATGGAAGCAGAGCTGTTATGATTGAATCAGGAATTGGGGGTGGGGACAGTGTCAGAACCTTAACTGCTTTCTTCCAGAAGAAGAGGTATCCAACTTCTTGGAGTAGGATCCCATGTAAACAGTTTTTGTTTTCCAGCACTTAACTATGATTGTGAGTAGTTGTAAAATCATAGAATTTCAAGAGTAGAATTCTACTTTCTGGCATCTATTATCTTTAATCTTCTGAAAATGAAGTTTCTGCAAAGCACATCATAGGACTGTATCCTCCTTGATAACTGAAATAATTATGTGTAGTAGTTTATACTCAATCGCTCAGTTACAAGTCTTTGAAATGTTTTATAAATAGCAATGGAAATAAAGCCCCAATTGTCATTTTATGTGTCAGTTGATAATCTCAATTGTTTATTTTCTTATTTCCCTTTCTAAGCATATATGCTTATATATACATATAAGCTTAATTATACATACATGCTTAGAAAGCTATATATTGTAATTACCATATATCTGATACAGCTTTCATTTTATATTGGTGTGGTACTTTTCAGACTTTATTCAAGCATCAGAGTCCCTCTTTTCCCTAATAAACATACCTAGGATAGGAGGAAGCTGTACTGATTGGTCTGACAGGGGTGGGGTGGTATGAGCAGAACCTTAGCCCTTGATCCTTGGCTCCCCCTTCCTTTGCATTTTCTGAAGTTGGAAACCATTGAATTAGGTAGTGTGATTTTTAATTGCTCAAAATCATATGGTCACAAAGCTCTAAGACATCTTAAAAATCATCTAGTCTATCCCTTGTTACAAAGGAAGAAACTTTACTTTTGTTCCAGTAACTTGATTATAATTTTCAACTGTGGGCTTTAACAACCCTTTTTTTTTTTTTAATTTTTTTTTTTTTTGACCATTTGCTGCTTTGCTTCTTTTCCCCACCACCATCTCTTACATCCTTTTACCCTCTCCCTCCCTTTTAACTTCTGAGCCCTCACAGTGTTTATTGATGTCCACTAGTTTTTGTAACTGTTTTGTTTTATCAAATTGTTGCTGTGTAAATGTCCAGTATTTGTTTTTATCGTTCTCACTTGCTTTGATGTGCATAATTCTCACAAACTCCCCCTATTTTTGCCGGCAGCATTTCATCTTTCCTTATGGCTAAATAGTATTCCATAGTTTGGATATATCTCATCATCTTGATCTAGTCATCTTTCATTGGGCATTTAAACTGCTTCCATGTCCTAGCTGTTGTAAATAATGTTCCGTTGTAGAACATATATTTTGCATTGATGGTTTCATGTTCTTTGGATAGATGCCCAAGAGTGGGGTTGCTGGTTTGTATGAAATTTCCATTTTTAGTTTTTAAGACAAATCCAGATTGCTTTCCATTATGGTTGCAGTTTATATTTCCACCAAGAGCATAATAAGACTCCTATTTCTCCACATCCTCCAGCACTTTATGTTCCGTTCTCAAGGGTATGAGATGGTATCTCTTTGTAGATTTAACCTGCATCTTTCTTACTGGAAGTGATGATGAGTATATTTTTCATATATCTATTGGCCTTTTGGATATCCTCTTTGGTGAAATGTCTATTCATATCTGCTATCCATTTATTAATAGGATTCTTTGGGTTTTTTTATTTTTAAATTGTGTGAGTTTCATATATTTTGGATATTAACCCTTTCATTGGTTACATACTGAGTTTTTCTGCCATTCATTATGGTGTCTTTTTAAGCTTGTATTTTCTTTCACTACATAAAAGCTTTTTAATGAGGTAATCACAATTGTTTGTTTTTTTTTTTTTCCAATTTCCCTTGCCATAAGGGTAGAACCACCAAAAGCATCTTTACCATTGTGTCATGCTTTCTTCCCTATATTTTATTGTTGCAGGTCTTAGATATAAATCTTTAATCCATTTGAAGTTTATTTTTATGTATGGAGTTATCAAGTGATCCAACTTCATTCTTTTATGTGTGTCTTTTCAGTATTCCCAACACCATTTCTTAGGGTCTGTTTTTTGCCCATTTTGTATTCATAGTTGCTTTAATAGGTGAGGTGCTAATCTGTACATGGGTTTATTTCTGGGCTTTCAGTTATATTTCATTGGTCTCTGTATCTATTTCTGTGCCAATTTGACCTAATTTTCATAATGCAAAGTCTTTTTTTTTTTCCCTGTATGGTTTTGAATTAAGCCCCTGTAGAAAAACACTCCTGTTTCTCTTTTACTTACTCCAACTACACAATACTTCTGACACCTGATATGTAGTTTTCTACTCATCAAGCAGTTCTCATATACCAGCTGAATATCCTGCAATTCAATTCAGTTCTGACACTGTCTGGAGTTAGCATCAGAAACCCATAAGTTAAGGGCTCAGTCTTCTTAAGCCCACCTCTGCTGCAGATGCCTGTCGCAAGTTCTAGGTTACCACCCATGCTTCTCACCAGCTGATTCTAAATCACCATTTCCTTAATGCTTTCCTTGGGTTTGATTAATTTTTGCTAGGACAGCTCACAGGACTCAAGGGTACACTTAATGTTAACTGGGTTATTATAAAGAATATAGATGAAAAGCCAGATGAAGAAATATGTAGGACAAGTTATACAGAATGGGACGTGGCACTTCCATACCCTCTCCGGACACACCGCTCTCCTGGCACCTCAAGTTGTTCATCAACCCAGAAACTCTGTAAACCCTGTGCATTGAGATTTCTGTGGAGGCTTCATCCCATAGGCATGATCAATCACTGGCTTACTCCAGCCCTTCTCCCT